ACACACACACATACTTTGGGTTCCTTCTGCAGGAACTGGGCACTTAATGCCTACTGGGTCCTGATATCAGGAGGCTGCAGTGGCCTCAGCCCAGTGTCAGGGGATGGAGAGAAAGCCCAGGGCTGATGCTTCTTTCCTATGTAAGGATTCTGCAGATCAGGGAGGCGTGCATTTCTGTGCTTCACTGGGTGGAATGTGTGAGGACACAGGGAATAGTTCTGCTTTAGTAAGCTACTAAGAAAAGACCCCCTCTAGCTGACCGAAGGGAACAGCAGCCAGTTTCCTGCTTCCAGAGCCCAGAGACAAGGTAGCCAAAGCTGGGTCCTAGGGCACAGAGCCCTTTGCCAGCCACGGGACCTCCCTGGGGGATAGGCTGGAAAGGACCAGCCAGACAGTCCTGAGGAGGAAAGGCCAGGAAGCAAGACCAAGGTCCCAAAAGGGCCAAACATATTTGAGAGCTTGGAGGTCTCCTCCAGCTGAACCCTGGGTGGAGTGAGTGATCGTCTGTCATGCTGGGCTGGTAGCTGTACCATGAATTGAAATTTGAAGTAAGAAGCAGTGGGGTGGGACTGATGCTGGTTGCAGGGCCTGAGAGGGACCCCTAGTGCGGACAGGAGGCCCCGCCCCAGGACCACACACTGCATGATAAAAAGAAGGCTGTGATGCCTGGTACCTTGGGTGACACTTTCCATGATCTGGAATGGTATGTGCTGGCAGGCTGGGCCTGGTGCTCAGCAAAGGCCCAGGGAGGCCCAGGTATGACCAGGCTTCTGCCTTCAGTGGACAGACCTGGGTGAGTCAGACAAGGCCTGGTGGTGGGGAGGAGCTGCCAGTTCTGGAACTTTCTTCTTCCAGAAGACGAACAAAGCATTCTTCCTGCAGCATGAACGCTGGTCTCCCAGACATTGGTGGGAATCACCTAACGGTCAGCAGGTCCACTTCAAGTAAATAGCATCAATCATTGGGGGACCTGAGGGCTGAGCCTGGAGTCTTTCAGTGAGACCATCAGTAGCCCAGGGCCCTGGGGGACACCAAGGGAGTAAGACACAGAGTTTGAGTCATTCATGGTGACCCAGACAGACTGGGGATGCAGGAGCTGCTCGAGTGTGAGAATGTGTGTCCATCTATGGTGGGACTGGCGCTGAGTGTGAGCGAACCTGTCCGCGCGGGTGGTACCACTGGGGGAGCCTGCTGGTTTTCCCGAAGTCTGATCCGAGCACACCTGAGCTCCCAGATGGTGAGTACTCCCACACCTTCCACCTGGCCAGGCCTGGGGAGGCCTCTGTGTTTCCAGGTAAACAGTGTCATGTATCTTCCTGGGTGCAGTGCAGAAGGACAAACCGTGAAGCCATTGTGGCCCAATGCCCAGTCCTCTGGAGCTGTTCCTAAGTGGGGAGAGGAAGCGGGGGTGTACTGGGCCTCCTGTTGTGTCTGACATCCTCACAAACCCAAAGGAAGCCCAGGGAACCCTCTGCTACCTTATTTGGGACCCTGTCCCTGACAGCTCCTAGGAGCCACAACCAAGCTTGAAACCAGTGAGCACCACCTACCCGCTTGTTCCCAGGGCTCCTGGGATACAGCAGAGGGTAGGTCTGGGGGAGGTGCGGAAATGCAGAGCAGAGACTGCGACCATCTCCCAGTCCCCACTCTCGCCCTGGCTGTGTCCCCTGGTCTGTGAGATGAGGTTGCCACCTTCCTCTTGAAGGTATAAAGAGACCCTGTTGTCTTAACACCTACGACACCAGGGAGGGTGTCACTCTGCACATAAGTGCCATGGCTGTGTCCTGTCCCCCCCCCCCC